CATCACGTGGCTTATCGCCGTCGTCTCCTTCGGTCTGTAAACCAACTTCTTTTCGTCCGCGGACTTACCGCAGTGCGCATCGCCAGAAGTGGTGGTCTCCCGGCGTCGCAGGTTAACGCCGAATCGCGAGCTGGCTTCCTTCACCGACGGCTCCGCGTTCCTCACATCGTTGTTCCTCTCATCCTGATCGTGATCGCTAATCTCGTCCTTGCTCCGCCACTCCGCTTTCACTTTCCTCAGACCGACCGGCGAGCTCACGATCTTCGCGTGGACGGACGAGGTCTCGGTGCAGGGCGACGCCGTCGCTACCAGCGGCGGTAGGTCGCACTGATCGCCGAAGGCCTCGTCCGGAGGCGGTGGCAGGTCCACCGGCGGCGGTGGAAACTCCAGATCGGCCAGAGTCGGCTGAATCGACCTCGACGGGCTGGCGGTGCGGAAGCTGGAGCTGTTCGGCGCGCGAAAGGTCCGCAGACCGATCCCCTCCGTGTTTGTCTTCCGGACGCCCACGCCGCGGCTACGCGGTGAATTCGGCGGTTGATAAGTGTTCACCACCCCGCTCGAGGAATTGCTGCGCGTCATCTGCGGCTGATTGCGCAAATTGTTCTGTCGGGGCGAGAGCGAGCGATGCTGCGGTATCGTGTCGACGGCGATGATGTCCTGCTGTTGTTGCTGCTGCTGCTGCTCCATGACCGCGGCAGACAAAGAGGATGCGGTAACCGGAAGCCCTGTCTCCTGATTCGATGGCATACCGCTCTGTCGTAGCGACTCCAAATACGCTCCGATCCTGGCGCCTTTCGGCAACGTACCGTAGCGATTGATCGCTCTCTTAACATTTTGCACCTCCAGCGCACCCACGTGTACCAGCTGAAATACATTTCTCTTTTAAATTGCGGGTCACTTATCCCGATCGAACGTCGCAAGTTATTCAAGCAGTGCTAAATGCATTTACCATCAAAACGGACTTTACTCTGAGACTCTCAAGAAGCAGACATATAAAAAAACATTATCGTTATGGTATTCGGTAATATTTAACGTCACACACGAGTAAAGAGAAGATATGTTTATGTGTTTAATATATATATATATATATCTTTCGAGAAATTGTGGCCGCTCAACGTAAGATCATTGTACCTTCTGAGGCAGTACTTCCTTAGACGTGTAAGGTCGAGATTTAATTTGTTTCTGATTGCACGGTAAGTTGGATACAGGTTCCGGCGAGGTTGACGGTTGAGAAACAAAGTTATGCTCTGCTGTCCCTTGCGACCCATCTCCGTCGTCGTCCATATCGCAACCTCCTGTAGTAATTGACTGTGTAGCCATTGTCACGAGATCACGTGTGATACCTGAGTCGCCATTTAATAAGGTGTACTGTATACAATCTATAGCTAACATATCTCTCCAGCATGTAAGCGCAACGCGTTAGAGATATTGGAGTTTTTTTCGGAGAAAAGCTAAGAAAAAGGATATTTGCGGCGCCTAACAGACTTAGTTCCCTGCCTCTCCCTTCGTCACACCTCACTCCATTCATCCCAGGGTCATTCTCCTTTAATCGACATTAAGTTATCAATAAGATTTGCTCATAGTTCTATTATCAGGCAAGTTAAAAGTGTCGTAGCACGTTAACAATGAATGATCAGTGAAAATGATGACGTGTGTTGGTTTCCTGAATTGATTTGTTCATGATATGAATGAATAGAAGCTTAGTAAACTCACGTAACACTGCTTGAACACAGTTGAATTTTATACGATGTTGAAATCGATGAAATAATAACTAATGCCGTTGCACAGGCGGAGTCCAATCTTTTTAGACTGACGTTGATGGTTCAATATGATAAATCAAAATGATAAGATACATATCCAGTAATCTAATACGAAAGAAAACAAGTAATTCTACTTGTACCGTTGCAGAAACGAATATCGCATGCATGAGTATATATGGGTCCTGTTTGGGTCTGTAACGCAATATATGATGGACAACATATGTAAAGTATCCGTCCCCTTTTCGTATAAGTGGGAACGAAAGACTGCAGCTACGATTTACAATATGTACGAGATGCAGACGCTCGAGTATGCATTAATAAAATATATATATATATATATGTATATATATCCAAAATACTATTGTCAGAAATCATCAAGTACTCGGCGTGTATTCAACATTCAAGTATACATACTGACTTGAGGAGAATGACCCACATTCATGAAGCCGTGAATCACTGTAGGCGAAGATGCATATCAAAATTAAAACTTGAAATCAACTGAAAATGTTAAAGAAATCAAACGGAAGCAGCATTCGTGCATTCGTCATTACACTTAATTTGATATAATAGAATACCTTCAAAAATCTTATCAATACCATTTAGATCTGTGCCATCGTCAAGCGTCATAGTGCTCACTTCGACATTTTGGTGGTCCTGCTCTTGGTAGGCGGAATCTCGAAAAGAACTGCACGATGATAGCAGGCTGACATAGAAGATACGTAGCTCTTTGTTAAATCTCAAAGTTATGATTGTACAGCGTTTATAGGCTAACAGATAGCGTACCTTGTTCGTTTCGGAGGCGCAGGCGCTTGTTTTCCCTTCTTATTAGTGGATCTTCGCATTTGAACCATATTACTATTACTCCTACTTGACAAGCCACCCATAAAGGTACTCAGCTTGGTAACTGAACTGGCTCCTTCTACATAAGATACAATAAATAAATAAATAAATAATGCAATAGAGAATTTTGTAACATAAAAGGCGAAATATTAAATCTACTTCAAAGTAAAATATATCTAGAATAATACGTAGAATTATCTAATATTTTTCTGAAATCAATACATATATTAAAACTTAACAAAAAATTAAATTTAAAATACTAATTCGTCTTTCTTATTGTAATATCGCAGAAACTAGTTATATTTATAGCTTGCATCTTTTCACATTTCAATGCAAGATGTCACACAATCCAGTCATTATTCACACTGTAACATTAAATGTTACCTTGCGTTATACCGGAAGAAGATAATTGCTCAGACACAAGAACAAGTCCGTGTATATTTCCTGTACTACCAGTCTGCGATTTTTTGTATGACAGTAATGGGATTTCCCCTCCGCCTTGAAGCTGTTTCTCTACCTCTGCGATACGTATAAAACAAATAAGATCGCATATCTTTGTATCAAATAAAATTATCTAAAATAATCCCTTTACCTTCGGTGATACTTGATTCTTGAAACATATTTTCTAACGAGTGGTGTATTTCCTTGAAAGTCGGCCGATCCGCCGCCGCCCACTGCCAGCATTGACGCATCAATTCGTAAACCTTGGGTGGACAACCGGGAGGGATTTCCATTCGATAGCCTTTTTCCAACATGTGATAAACATCCGTCAAGTCAACACCAGGATACGGAGACATGCCATAAGTAGCGATCTCCCAAAGAAGAATACCGAATGCCCATACATCAGACTATAAAAAGCATCAATTAATATTTATGTGGTAATAATTCGATAACAGTGCTGCCTCGATTAATGTCACAACTTATGTCAATAAAATAACACATTTATTATTACTTAATGATCATCGTACCTTCGTCGAAAATTTATTGTACGCTAGTCCCTCTGGCGCAGTCCACTTTATGGGAAATTTTGCGCCGGCGTGAGCTGTATACGTGTCGTCCCTCATGAGACGGGCTAAACCGAAATCCGCGACTTTGACGAGATGGTTCTCGCCGACCAAACAATTCCTGGCCGCTAGATCGCGGTGAATAAAATTTCTACTTTCTAAATAGCTCATGCCGCTCGCAATCTGCGTTGCCATATGCATCAGAACTACAGCGTTGATTTGATGTTTACTTTCATTTCGCAGATAATCCAGCAGATTGCCTTTGCTCATAAATTCCGTGATTATGTAGAACGGTGGCTCGCGCGTACAAACCCCCAGCAATTGCACCAAATTCCTATGTTTCATCTCTTTCATGATGGCAGCTTCCTCCAGAAAGTCCTTCAGTGCCATCGTGTCCTCCTTGAGCGTTTTAACCGCTACAGTCATATTGTATCTTTTCCAAACGGCTTCGTACACGTCACCGTATTGGCCGCCGCCTAATTTATGCCTCATTACTATGTCCGTTCTATTAATCTCCCATTCGTCCGGCTCCGGACTCAATGGAAAGACTGTAGGCTTGTTGTGCTTTGGCGCCGGATATAGCAGCTGCGTGATAAGGCCGTCTGCAAGCATTGAATGATGATGCACCAGTTCAGCCAGTGTATTAAACTTGCTCTCTGTCGTCACAAACATCTTTCCTTCGCTGTCCTCATTGATCCTATAATGATACACTCGACCCTCGTATCTCAAGGAGATGCTGCGTTGTCCAGGGCTACTTTCTGATTCTCGTACCAAAAAACTACCGTTTATCCCTGAACTTAATAAATATTCTGCAGCATTCCTAGATATCCTTCCGTGATACCAAGAATGCTTCTCTAGAGAATTAACAGGAGTCACGTAATTTGATGGTACCCATCCTACTTGCCCAGTGCTCGAATGGGCCTCGCACCATTCTCCACTTTTGTTGTAACTTAAGATACGTACTTGTTCACCTGTTCACAAATATTAAAAAACAGTATTTAAAGCTTGTGAAACAAATTGATATTTAATCATCAAAACAATCTAACTTTGATAAAATATATAGCACTTTAATAATACGTAATTAAAAGTAAATTAATACCTTTCTTCAGACTAAGTTGATTCTCCCCACCAGCTTGAAAATCATATAAGGCAACAAATAATTGAGGATCATCCTCCTCTTGTGCCAACAGATTTTCTTTGCTAGTCCATCTGTATGATAAAAATGATAGAGAATATTATTTCGATTTCTTATTACTATTCACATATCTCTTTCAATTTTAAATTCAGAATTGTAGATCTTATGAATAAAAACACAACATACAAAAATCTATGTAACAAAAATTCTATTGTTCTCAATATTATATATAAAAAATGTATTTATCAAATCTTTGCTAAAATTGCAAAAATATAATGAAATTATATAAACATAGTATGAGAATTATATATAAACATAACATGTTATTTCAAATCTTAAATAGTAAACTGACCTATTTGCTGCTTCAAGAAGTCCACTAGCAGATACACTAGAGTGTTGTTGGATATTTGCTTGCTGTGAAATTGATTGAACACTAGAACCACTTGGGGGATCACCTTCTGGCAATGCTGGAATGTGAGGTAGTGGTCTACTTTGCAAAAGTGCCTCTGTAAAAAACATTGCAATATAATTTTCCTTTTGTAACTCTCAACGTGTGTTGAAAACAAAAATTAATACTGACAATTAAAACATTCTTTGCTTATGTAATAGGATATATAAAAAGCTTTATCTTATCATTATGTTCAAAATATTTAACGTACAACAAGAATAATTAAGAGATTATATCTAAAGTTTTATTATACCTATTTAAGGAATGTTTAGTGTTCAAACTATTTCTGTAACATAAGTATAAAAATACATAGTATGCTTATGTGTTATAATTTTCTTATTTAATCACTACTATTCACATTAATATGGGAGACAGTCATATCAATGTGAATGTTAACTCACACACTCATTGTTATATATTAAAAAAACATTATTACAAGACTAAATCTTTTTTAAATACTATTGCATCATCGATATTACTCTAAATATTGCAACATCATTTTTTGTGAAATCAAAATGATACAACCATCTCAAATATATTAGCTAAGAAATACTAGGAAAGCATGCTAGTTGCAGCTTCAGCTGGTGAGCTATCACGGTTCAAAAGGAATACATATCATGCGAAAATCACTCAGCGTGCAGATTTCTGCTGTCGCTAGCAGAATCTTACACAACAGGAAAGAAATATGGAGCAGAGCGGATAATTGATAACTGTGTTCTCACCGCTATGCTCGGTGAATATATTAGAGCCTATGGCGCGTGTATCCTTCAAGTTCCTGGGCTGTTTGCGAGTTTGTCGCACGGTTGACCCGACGGGTATCACCCTGTCCTTGGTCTGCTGGGCGCCCATAGTGCTACCCGCCGATCACTATATCATGCCCTTCACGTGCAACCTCCGACCCGGCTGTGTACAGGGCCCAGGTCCCTGCTCTTCTCCGCACCCTCGCGCACACTTCACTTCCGGCACTCGGGCGCCGGCGGCGAGCCTGACATCGCGATCGTCGTCCGCGTACCACGGTTCGCGCAAGACACCGCGAGTGTCGGGAGAACGTGATCCACCCACACCTCTTGAAGCGCAGATCACGGTATGCGGCAGGCCTATTCACATTTTTACATGTCAATTACCGCTCTCTCTCTCACTGCCCCTCGCCATATTTGACAGCTTTTGACGTCGATTATTTAGTTTGTCGGTGTATTGCTGTGCGGCAGCACGACGCTGGGCGGATTCTCATGCGCTTTCTGGAGCCACCCCGTTCGTTTGTTCTAAATCTCATATTTTTCTTTGATTTCAACATTGCGATTATAAAAGATATAGAAATGATATATATGTAAAAAGTTATTATCTTCAAAATATTTTAGATTTATCATTACATCTGTCGTTTCTAGTTTTATTCTCGGTACAGTTACAATTTTTGTTCTTCCTTTTTTTTCCTTTTCCTGTTTCAATACCTGATTATTTATATTTTAAATGTAGAAAATAATGTAATGCAGCTAAAAAACAAATTTATTACAATCTATTTAAGTAGATTTTGAAAATCAACCAGTCGCGATATTCTAGTTCTTTAAATTAGACACGTGATTCGCTGTCTAGATGAACTCTTAAGGTACATTCATAATACAGTTATGCAAATTTATTGGTTGTATTTTAATATTTTCCATTTTGTATATACAAAAATAAATAAATACAGAAAGTAGGAAACACTTTGGAATTTCTTCATTTATTCTGAAAGGTACATCAAAAGAAGATCACTGAAGATTGCGTCTAATTGCTATGCATACTTCATGACCGGATGCGCCAATTCAAAGCCTTGTTCGTGCCGCCATGTTGTTGTGTCACGTGACCACACGGGCAAGCAGGGAGCAGCAGTAAGGTGAATGCGCCGGGTCAAATCCGGTGCGAGGCAGTGTGAGGGGAATCAATTGGAAAAATTTAAGCGTCTAATTAATATCGTGAGCTGAGTCGATCCGGAACGATGGAGGTGAGGAAGCTGACGGAGCTGCTGCGGGCGACGATCGACCCGGCGCAGCAAAAGGAGGCGGAGGAACAGCTCACCCAGGTACGCAAAAAAAAATTGCGATTAGGAGAAAACGTGTTCCGTTTCGCGCGGCAGGAGGGGAACAATCTCGAACCCTCTTGAGAACATGTGGCTTCGCTCCATGTCGTATCCTCATGCCGGATGCCTCGAGCACGTGGCTTGGATAATGCATTCCATCGAGGAATAATTCCCGTCGCAAGAATTTATTTTTTTTCCAAGAGGCACTTCTTCCCAGCGAACGCTTCAACATTTTAATTCTTGACTCCGCATGCTTGTGCTTCCACGGCTGCGGCGATGAAAAGAAATTTGAGCAATTGCGGAAAAGATAGCTTCCTTATGTTCGAGCAGCTATTCACGACAAAATAAGCGATAGTTCGCTCAGATTTGCCGAATGATACTATGATCCATATTTTCGCTCGTTAACCTCTCCTTGCGTACCATGCTCGCGCGTAAAGAAATATTCTCAAGCCTCTACTTTGTTCGTCTGCGTAGAATATGCTTCCCGAGAATGTGTGAGTGAAATCGTATTCTCATTGTGTTAATGAGCTCTATCATTGAGCACAATTATTCTGACACAGTTGGTAATTTTCCTATTCATATATCAGTCATATTATTTTTACATACTTAGCATATGCATATATATATATACTATATTATCTATTATGCACACGCCGTGTAGACTTTATAATTTAAATCTATAGGATGTATTAACATTGGAGCAATAAGGCTAATGTAACGTAATGATAATATAATAATGAAGTTGCGCGTAATGAGCCAATAGCTTCTATATATGCTTGAATTTTCCAGATTCACAAAATCATTGGTTTTGCACCCACACTCCTGCAAGTAGTAATGTCAAATGAAGTTGATATGCCTGTGAGACAAGCAGGTAAATATTTTTATCCTAATTTCTCCTATTATGCAACATTGAAGATGAAGCGTAAACTACGGACTATAATGTTCCATCATCTTTGCAGGTGTGATTTATTTGAAAAATTTAATTTCTGCAAATTGGGCTGAGAAAGAAGATGGACTTACGGAATTTAATATTCACGAACAAGATCGTGCAATGATACGCGATGCCATAGTAGATGCGGTAGTTCATGCACCGGAATTAATTAGGTGAGTTGTAACCAAATTATGTCGTTAAAAAGATATATGTATATATATATTTCTTTAGAAATATAATAATTACAATTGTATATTTTTTGTTTAGAGTACAATTAGCACTATGCATCAATAATATAGTCAAACATGATTTTCCTGGGAGATGGACGCAAATAGTGGACAAAATTACGATATACCTTCAAAATCCAGATGCATCGTGTTGGCCTGGTGTTCTCCTTGCACTGCATCAGCTTGTTAAAAATTTTGAGTGAGTATTGTTTCCTTTTGATCTATTGTTTTAGATATAAGAGATAATTTGTAATGCTTTTGTTATAATAATTAGGTACAAAAAACCAGAGGAGAGGGGACCATTACATGAGGCAATGAATTTGTTATTCCCTATGATTTACCAATTGATAGTACGCTTATTGCCAGATTCATCCGAACAATCTGTTCTACTTCAGAAGCAGATACTGAAAATTTTCTTCACACTTACACAGGTATGTAGGAGCTATCGCGGTGTTAGAATAAATGATGTTGGAATATTTTGAGATTTAATGTCTTTTTTTTTCTCTTTGCAGTATACACTTCCTCTTGACCTTATATCGAAAGAAGTATTCTCCCAATGGATGGATGTGGTGAGACAAATAGTTGACAGACCAGTACCGCCAGAAACTAATAATCCGGATCTGGATGATGACGAACGGGTAAAATTGCCTTGGTGGAAGTGTAAAAAGTGGGCGATGCACATTTTATATAGGGTCTTTGAGAGGTAATCAAGCTCGTAAAGTTAATATTAGATATGAGGAAAGTTTGAAAATGATAAGACGCTTACGAACTGTTCACTGTTAATTACAGATATGGCAGTCCAAAAAATGTGGCTAAAGAATACAATGAATTTGCTGAATGGTATTTGAAAACATTTAGCGCCGGTATTCTCGAGGTTCTTCTGAAAATCTTAGATCAATATCGTAGAAAAATTTATGTCTCTCCTAGAGTAATACAACAATCACTCAACTACATGAATCAGGCGTAAGAATCTATTCTAATAAATAATCTTGTCGTATTGATCATATGATGAATGCGATAATACAGCGGTTTTCAATTTCAAGGGTGATTCATGCGTACTCTTGGAGGTTTTTGAAAGTGCACATGTTCGAGATCATACGCGACGTTTTATTCCCCATCCTTTCGTATACAGTCGCCGATGAAGAACTGTGGAACGCTGATCCTTATGAATACATTAGAGTAAAATTCGGTAAAGTCAAATTAACAGCATATTAATTTAAACGTGGATAACTTTGTGCGCTAACCAGTTTGCTTTCAGATATCTTTGAGGATTTTGTATCGCCGGTGTCGGCGGCGGCGACCTTATTGCATACAGCATGTAAGAAACGAAAAGATATGCTTCCACAAACCATGCGGTTTTGTCTCGAGGTGTTGACTACAACAGGTGTTGATCCGAAGCAAAAGGACGGTGCATTACATATGGTGCGTTTACGAACCAGAAAAATATTTGTTACTTAAATTTTTCGTTATGGCTACTTTATAATTTTTATTAATTCTACATGAACTATATATTTTTAATATAACTGTGTTCTTTAGATTGGAAGTTTGGCCGATGTTATGTTAAAGAAGAAAGATTTTAAGGATCAAATGGATAAAGTATTAGTACAATATATATTCCCCGAATTTAACAGTCCTCATGGACATCTGCGAGCAAGAGTAAATATAAAATTATTATATAATACTTATTCTATAATAATAAAAATGTGTACTTAGCGCAGTGATAATTATTAATTATGTTTCTCCAGGCCTGTTGGGCAATGCAGTACTTCGCGGAAATTAAATTTAAGACAGAACAAATCTTAATCAACGCAATAGGATTGATTACAAATGCCCTCCTGACCGATCAAGACGTGCCCGTTAAAGTTGAAGCGGCTATAGCTCTTCAGATGATGCTTGGGGCACAAGACAAGGCTCATAAGTACATCGAACCAATGATCAAACAAATAACACTCGAATTGTTAACTATTATCAGAGAGACAGAGAATGACGATTTAACAAATGTTATGCAAAAAATTGTTTGTCTATATACGGAACAATTGATGCCGATTGCTGTAGAAATTTGTCAACACTTGGTAAGAAATTTGATTGTTTATAATCTCGCGAGATCCTATATAAGCAATGTAGTAGAATATTATGTTGCATACTGTTCTTTTAGGCTGCTACGTTTAGCAAAGTACTCGAGACAGATGAAGGCAGTGACGAGAAAGCGATAACAGCGATGGGTCTCTTGAACACAATAGAAACATTATTGTCAGTGATGGAAGAGCAACCGCAAATCATGTCACAACTTGAGCCGATTGTTCTTCAAGTAGTAGCTCATATTTTTGGACGAAACGTAACAGGTATGTTCTTTCATATTTCAATTTTTATCAATACACGATTAGCAACCACCATTGTGATAAAAATGATAATACTTGTAAAATATATTGTCTGCTCAAAATTTCTTTTAGTTTTTTTTTTTTTTTTTTTTTTTTTTTTTTTTGTAGAGTTTAAATTCTATGTTTAAGATATGCATGTATACAATTGCTATAATCTAAGAACATGTTAAGAAAAACATGTTTCTCTTTTAATTAGAATTTTACGAAGAAGCGGCATCGTTAGTTTATGACTTAACGTGCAAAGCTATATCTGAAGACATGTGGAAAGTCCTGGAGCTCATGTATCAAGTTTTCCAAAAAGATGGTTTAGATTATTTCACTGATATGATGCCTGCGCTGCATAACTACATCACTGTAGATACTCGGGCGTTCTTATCAAATGAGAATCATATCTTAGCCATGTTCAACATGTGTAAAGCCGTGAGTACTTATACAGATTCTCTCCGTAGAGCTCAATATTGTTATTGTCTAAACACATTTTCTATATTATAGGTCTTGACAAATGAATGTGGTGAAGATCCCGAGTGCCATGCTGCTAAGTTGTTAGAAGTTATAATTTTACAATGTAAAGGACGTATAAATCAGGTAACATTACATATAACATTTATGGAAACAAATATAATTCTAATTTATGAGACAGCAAACATAAGTTCAATTTTATTTTAGTGCATACCGTCGCTTGTACAATTAGTCCTAGAACGTCTAATGCGCGAAATTAAAACTTCGGAATTGCGTACGATGTGTCTTCAAGTGGTCATTGCTGCTTTATATTACAATGCTACATTGTGCCTAGAAACAATGGACAGATTGCAAGGTAACTTTGATCAGTCGTCAGAGCCGCTTGCTTCACGTTTCATCAAGCAGTGGATTAATGACACAGATTGTTTCCTGGGGTGTGTATTTATGTATATACAAGAATATTTTAATACAAAACTACTAAAAAAGAATTACAAAAATAGATTTAGAAATTTAAGTTTGTGCAATTTGTAAGAACAATTTTGTTTCTCTCCACAGCCTACATGACCGTAAACTGTGCGTTCTTGGACTGTGTACTTTAATCAGTATGACTCCGGCACGCCCAGCTGCTGTTAATGAATGTGCCACCCAAATTATACCATCCTTAATCTTATTGTTTGAGGGTCTGAAGCGAGCTTATGCCGCTAAAGTCTCGGACGGGGACGACGACGAAAATGATGACGAGGAAAGCGATATCGACGAAGGTAAGTATGCATACTTTTTATAACATAATATATGATGGGCTAATCGAATTTGCTGATTTTCAGAAGTTTTATCGTCCGACGAAGACGACATAGACGACACTAATCAGGAATATCTTGAAAAATTGCATGATAAAATAACGAGAACGGCCGTTCAACACGGTTTTCAAATTAATTCAACTATACACGACAGTCACGGTGACCATAGGTCCGATGACGATGACGATGATTCGGAATATGACGGTAACGAAGAGACTGCTCTTGAAAGCTTTTTGACATCCTTGGATGCAGATGATCCCAATCAGGATGAATACATTATTTTCAAGGAAGTCATACAAAGTAAATATCTAAAAAAATTATACTTGGCAAACGAAATGTATTTAAACTAAATCACAATGTATTCTTTCATTTTAATTAGCTATTGAAAGAACCGACATGGCCTGGTATAGAACCTTAACAAGTCTTCTTACCCCTGAGCAAGAAAAAGCTTTACAAGAAATTATTGTGTTGGCAGATCAACGCAAAGCAGCTTTCGAGAGTAAAATTATCGAACAGAGTGGAGGTAAATACTGTCTTCAATAATATTTTTTTGATCGTTTACGTTAATTGTCATGCAAGTACAAATTATTAATTGGAGTATCTCTATTTTCCCAGGTTATTCCTTCCCCTCACAGACTGTGCCCACCTCATTTAACTTCGGTGGCACACCTTTAAGTCGATAAGGACTTACAATCATTACAAATTTTAAATTAAGTAAGTAACTAAACAAATTATACAAAATCTGAATCAGACATTTTCAGCACGCGATCATTACTACAAGATCATTTCGACGATATTATGCATTTCTTACTTACTATTTTTGTGTAAACTAATTACAAATTACTAAGGCAATTCGACAGTTTTACTTTAACTCGATGAAGCTAACACTTTATCTCTAAGAGATCAGTCTTGTGCATCCTGTTATTTTATTAGTCGAGACATTTTTTTTTTTTTTTTAGATATGTTTATTCTCTTTTATACTATAAATATTCAAATTTGACTCAATGAGATGTTTTGGCCTAGCTATAAGCTATAATTTGTTTTCTCAATTATTCAAAATTACTTTTGAATTTTTATTAATACTTAGTTTTTGGAATATCTTCAATTAAGAAAATTTCAGCTTACTGAATATACTTACTTTTCATATAAAATACGTATTTATAATCTCGAGTTATGCCTTAGTCCGAAATTGTTTTATAGAGGACGATTGAATCAATTAGTTTATTAAAAAAATCTATTATAAAAATTATATTAAATTGTTGGTAAAAATGTATCAAAAAAATGTTTGATTATGTGTAAACAATAATTCTTAATATTATTAACAAATAAGTTAAAACGTCATGCTGTACACTCTTGAGATCTATTTGCAAATTACTATTGTGTAACAAAAAAATGTAAGTTAGCAAGGTTGCTAGACGTAACTTGCAGAAAATGTTGCCTACAACAAATATTTAGATAAAATGCAATTTAGGTTTTTAAATAAACATTGTTTTTTTTTCAAGTTCTTGTTTAAATGTATATTGTATTATAAATGGCCAAATATTCTGCAGCTACCGATCACTTTACGTAAATCCCAGCACAGCTTACTTTATTTTGGAAAAAAATAAGTTTCGCCGTATCTTACACTATCCGATATACCCTGAAAGATGGAGCTGCATCAATAGCTTAGTAAACACTTTAGTTAGCTTCTGCAACTGTAATTAAGTTTTTATAATAGTCGATCTGGTAGGAAAGTTTTGGTATTGTATTAAAAAGCATCAACAAAAAACACGGTAATCTTAAACAGAGCTCTTTCTTTCACGAGGTATCCTAATTACGTAAGACACTCTCGGAGCAGAATTAAACTATGAATATCAGAGCCCAAAATGATAAAGGTGTACAAAAAAGAGGTGTTCTGTGCTGTGGTTAGTGAAATGATTACTGCACAAGTGCTTTTTATATCAAAATGCAAAAGGATGTATGCGATAATTACGTGTCGCTTCAGAAAATAACTCGTGATCTATACTTCAGTCCAAAATTCTGTACAATACTATTGGATAGTGGAAATTATATTGTATTATAAGCATATTATATATATATGCTTATTTACTTAATTAGTTTGTTTTATTCGTTCAATTTTCGCTGTTTTTATATACATATAAAACTGCAAGAAACCTGCAATTTTAATCACACTATATTCGGTTCTCTTTTAGTAAAGATTGTATACACAGGGTGCATGCAAAAATATAGCGAATACCGATCAATAACAATATATAATACATTATGTTAACGATTGTTGATTTCTTAATAATTAAAACTTCAACAAAACTTTAGCTATGCGATTTTATAAGGATTTTTAATAGATTTGATTTTATTCTCATTGAAATTCAGAAGATAAGTTAAACGACTTAATATGTTTCAGGCATATCTCTCGACTATACATTTCTTCATTTGTTTATAATAAATGTGTTATTTTTTTAAATTTAAAATAGAGATAATACAATAATATCAATAGAGACAAGAATAACGAAAAAAAAGATATGTTTATCGTTGCTCAATGAAATATCTGCTCCGTGTAATGCGTGACTCTTTCTTGAATTTCAGAAAGAACTGCATATTTTGTATATAATAGGATATGATTTCAAATTGTAAATATTAAAGAGTTGGCTGATTAACACATCACACAATATTTGAAATTAACGAAAAGATACATTGTAGAGATCTGTATACATGACACACACATACACATACACACATTATATATATATTAAACGATCATTTTCCAAACACAGTAATTAATAATGCTTGAATAAACTATGCACTTCATATATATTTTAATTTACTTTGCAGTACCCTGCTTTTAAATTGATTTTACTTGGAATTGCGATTATCGATTTCTTGCAGTGTTTATCAGAGGTATTTGTAAAGCGTGAACAACTTCTAATCTCTATCTTATAGATGATACGACGCGTGAAATAAAGACGCCGTCGCTCTTTATATTGTGTGACCCGAACTCGCGACCCATTATTTGGTTAAAGTCTTTGTGCACGTAATAAGGAAAAAAAGTTAATTGATTGTGTCAATTTTCAAACAAGAGTATTTAAAAAAGTGCCTTGAGACGTTAACGCAGACGGGACCTAAATTGAAGAATACAGCGGAGTAAAGCTGTAGGTCGGAGTGAGGCCAGGACACTTCTCTAGTTCATAAGTTCTCTATAAGTACTGTATTAAAGTATAATAAATTAATAATAACTGATAGAGAAGACGACAACTGTTCCTTTGCTCTTTATAGGATACAAACCGTAACTTCTCTTTGTAATGGATATATTTATCACACACATTCTCTCGGTAGTTTTTATATAATGATAAATGAATTATAAACGTAACGGCGGTAAGTCTTATGATAAAAATCACACATATATGCTTAAGTCTCGATATTGTATAAACTGATAAGAGGTAAGATATAACTATATTGGTGCTTTAATATAGATGAAGTTTATAGAAACTTCATTATTAAACCGAAAATGTAGTTTCTATTGTATTTCTGTCATTTTATTTATTTATCCAAGACCTTTATTTCTGGAGTTTACAATATATGTTTGTGGATTAGCATTTATATTTCTTTCTTTTTTATACCTGTCTCTCGAATTAAATATAATTAGCAAACAAAATGTACGTGTACGTAGTGGTTTGGAATTTACAATCGTAACTCTGAATAAAGCTTAAAATAAGGCGTAAATCTATAAATCATTTTAAAAGATAGCAATATTAAATTTATTGATGTAATTGTGGCGTAAGTGTGTGCGTAAAAAATAAGTAAAAACAATTATTTCTTTTGAATATTTAAATACAGCTTATTTTATAATTATCTTCTTATTTCAAACAGCAATTATTCACTATTGTGAATTCTTAAATGTATATAGAGATTCATTAGAGGGACATGTATGATATTACTTAAATATTCCGAGAAAGAAGAATTGGTAACACATTTAATACATTTTGTTGTAGATATTTCTGTGATTTTTGCATGTATCGATTTTTCTAAACTACATTGAGATATGCTCAATTATTTTACATAGACTGTACAAGCGTGACGTTTAAAATATATTCTCTTTTCAACGTTTTTAGTGTAATTATGAAAAATAATAAATTAAATTTTGTAGTGTATAAAAAATTTCACGATTGTATTGTAATCTCGTAATTGTTAGCGACTGCTCTGTAAGGTGTTTGTACTTGTACATAGAGCAAAACGAACCTATCTCCTCTCTTAGTGTGAAATAAATTTGAACTTGTTTCATAAAAACATCGATTGTTGTTTTCGTGTATATTATTGCTAGATTACAAAAAAAAAAAAACATTTTATCAGGTGTAAAATTATGCTCTTTGTAAGAATCGAAACAAAACATTTGCAGTTCCATAACAGCCTTATATTCCACTCTCAGTCAATACATAAGTTAAGTTACTTGTACATATGTTTAAATGAAGATCAAATTTTGATAGATGCTGCGGTGAAAAGCAATGACAATGGGAGTTATATATGCCTTAGAAAATAAATATATCATAAATATTAAGGTATCTATAAAAACGCAAAATTGATTTAAAAATTCAGGATCTAAAATCCCAATTTCAGGTCCAAACTCGAGTGTAATAATTACATGTCTCGCATCGTAACATCTATCATTTGCCAAATGTCAAACTATAATCCTACAATCCTTTCAACACTGCACCTCAAATTCACTAAAATAATGCCATGGCCAATAAACATTTCGATAATTGTTGAAAATGATGAATGTTTATTTTAGTTGAAGCTTATTAACCAAAAATAAATATGTGCAATTAAATGTATATAGGCCTGGCAAGACATAAAGAAAGTAAATATGTTAATGTCACACAAGTGACAATGAGGACACTGTATGGTCCTGTACCCATTCCATACTTCAGGATCTCTTGACCTACAGTGAGTCCTTGAAGGAGCATGTACAACATGAATGATGGCGAGGCACTGTATCACTTGAGACATCGTTCGAAATAATATGATCCTACATAACCACCCCGCATAGCTTTTGCTACGTTTTGTTCAAACGCCCTTCTGTTATTCTGTAGAACTTCAGCAGCGTCCTTATTTAATGGATCCTCAGGATTTGGCTCCTGTTATCATATTTATGTATGTTTCAATTCAGATGAGATAAAAAAATGATTTGTGAAAAATAAGTTATCAGAAGCATTATATTAATAAATAATGGTTACAACCACACAAATATTGATTGATAGCAAAATTTATATAGAATGTAAAAATAATAGTTTTCTTTAGTAAAACATTATAAATTATGACAAATAAGTAATAATGGAATTATACATACTAAGAATAGATATTGGAGACCATAGACAATGGAATTGATTGTGAGTACAGGTTTCCAGTCCTCTCTCAGAATATTGAGGCACACATTACCATCCAAGTCAATATTGGGATGATAAACCTGAGTCTCACATTTCACTTTTGGTGGCTCGTGCGGGTAATTGGGACCAACCTTAAAACTAAACACGAATCTACCACCTCTGTAAAACCCCTGAAACAGTTAATCAATCGATTAATCATATGCAATCATCATCAATATTTTCATAAGCTACCATTGATTATTGGTATTGTAAATAATGAAATATACAACCTGGATGGGAAAAGTGACATTGATTTAACATTGTACAAATACTGCAAGTGCTCCAGATAAGTATTTACTTACTTCATCTGGACAGATGATTAACTTAAAGCTTAACAGATCATCAGGATCCGGGAATTCCGTACCGCATGTTTTCGGGAGATTGAGTTCGTTTATGTCTGAAAAAGTAAATACCAAGTAAAAGGAGAGTGACGAGGGTAAGTCGCGAGCTACATTGAGTGCAAACCTTTTGTGATTCTCAGCTGTGCCGCGGACGCCTTCTTCTGGGTGCCAGCCTTGGGTGACTCGCCATCTTTTTTCGCTTGTTTCAACGAGAATAATTTGATCATAATTAGATCGCGCGTTCAACGCCGACGCGGGCCAACATACAAATGTCTCGCACTTGGGCCGCGGTCGCGGACGGCATACAAAATCACACCTAAAAACCTATAATTTTTGACACTACGGGATCAATCGCTCGGTTGATCCCGCACACATACAATACGCGCAGGCCGTGCAGAGGCTAGTGTCACGTGGACGGATGAATGATAGTGAGCATGCTGATGTCACGGCGTCGCGAATACCGATAATAATGTTTTCTGCACAAATTTCTTCTCAGTTTCTTACAGTCGGTAGAATCAACACGTGGACTAACAATTTTTTTTCTCTGTCGAAAGATGGCATTGTCAGCATGATCATCATTTCGAAATATGATGTCACTCTATACATTTAATTTTTAACGTCGCGCAAATTCAAATTGTGCGCACTTGCTTCGTGTATTAGAATATACGTTGTATCTTTCTTTTGCGATAAAATATTACAATGAGATTATAAACGTCCTATAGAAGGTAACATCTATTCAAAAGCGCTATGACTGCACGATTTACGTCTTAGCGATTTCAGTAGTTATTTATTACATGTATATGCATGAGTCACGCATTACTTGTATACTATTATTGCTGCGAGCAGAACCTTAATTTGTAACAATTAACTTTATAATTTATAACGATTTATCATATATGTGTTAATTAGTTATTAGCCTAATAAACACCAATGTGCTAGTTTATTAATACCGAGTATAGTAATTTAATTACTTCAAATTTATAATTAATTATTTAATTCATAACTAGCAAAATAAACTTGCATAGAAATAATTATATGCGCGTTGTATGTATTCGCATGTTTAATGACTAATATAATATTTATGCAAACGAACTGGCGATATGCCCGGTATTTGAACTTAAAATAACTTGACAGCAGGATGACGTTTCGAAAAGCGCTGCTTTCGAATTATCACTCATTCGTCGTTTGAGAGAATCGACAATTGGACTACTGTTGTTTGGATGGGCAATTCTAACACGAAGAGAAGCTATCATAATTACGAAAAGTATGATAGTCAGGTGTGTATTATCTGGATATACATCCTAACCTCTAACTCAATATTTATATCTCATAAAAATGTTCTTTCTGTTGCGTTTCCTCTATTTTACATTATACTTTATAATTAAATGTATGTGTACTCTATCTTAAAAATAATATTATCAATTTACAGTATAGCCTCAGTGATTTACTCGGTGGAAGCTGCATCACAGCAGCACAAGCTTCTAATGATGAACGAAGATCATGGTCTCGTGCTTCTCACAGAAGGTAATATGACTAGTATTTTAATAAAATATATTCTCGTATAATTAATTGTCTACAATAGATTTTAATAACAGCAAGACTGAATTAACACATATTATTTTTAGTTGGACCAGAGATGCTGGACAGGATGCTCACGTATCATCATTTGGATCTTCCAAAACAGTATGGCCAGTTCCCCGTTTTCAGTCAATGTTCCTACCAGAGTTTCCAGTCAAACAGATACCCTTGAAGACGGGATATGTTTTCTTGGATGTAATAGCTAAAGGTGCTTATGGAAAAGTGTACAAAGTACAAAAACAAGAGACTGGTCAAGTTTATGCACTTAAAGTCATTAGTAAAGCTATGATAGTAGCAGAAAATGCTATTAGACAAGCTAAAGAGGAGGTACATACATGTTTAAAATTGTTTAGATAAATATATTGTTGATTTGACAAAATATATAGATTTTATGTTTTATATTTAGGTAGCAATACAGAGAATGGTTGGACATCATCCTTTCGTAGTGAGCTCTGTCCACAGATGGCAAGGCAGAAAGACTTTGTATATATGTAAGTTCTGTTACTGTGTTAAATTTTAACATAATTTTTTGAGCAGATTGTGACAGAGATAAATATTACAGTGATGGACTACATTTCTGGAGGAGAATTACTTTCACTAGTCGATGAATATGGCTGTTTACCTGAAGAGGTAGTTAGAATATATGTGGCTGAAATTGCGTTAGCCATAGGTGAGAATAATTTCAATAATTTGTTATAGATAACATAAGATCTGACATCTATACATTTATATAAAAGCATATGTGTATTATATGTAGATTTCCTGCACAATGCTGGCATAGTACATAGAGATCTAAAAACAACAAACGTTCTACTTGACGAAAATGGCCATGCTATAATTATTGATTTTGGTTTAGCCAAATGGCTGCAACGCACTGAAAGAACGAATACATTATGTGGAACACCCCAATACATGGGTGAGAAAATATAATAATAGAAATGTGGTATTTTATTGCGTTTCTAATTTGCTTAAAAACAGATAATTGATGAATCAATTCATAATATAAAATCAATTAATATAAATAATATAATATAAATTCATAATATAATCAATCAATAATATAAAATATTATTTCTTTATTGTTTTGTCATATTTACGCAATTTTTTTTATTGTAATCTTTCAGCTCCTGAAATATTAAGAAAAGAATACTATGGACAGGAGGTCGATTGGTGGTCGCTCGGCGTCTTAATGTGCTTCTTACTTACAAATGAGGTACGTGATAGATTTTAAGTATGTATCATATATTTTTTCATGACTATAATTCAGTGCTTTCGTCGTGTTACTCCACTTTAAGTAGATAGCTGACCTTATCATTACTCTGGAAGCACTCAACATCACAAGACTCCGTGGCGCAACGGTAGCGCGTCTGACTCCAGATCAGAAGGTTGCGTGTTCAAATCACGTCGGGGTCAAAAGTTGTCTTTTTTTTTGTTTTGTGCAGCTCTAAGAAGTTATAGTAATTAATTTGATAATAACTTTTTTTATTTTGTTTGTTATTATTATATATAATAGACTGTGTTTGAATTATTTATGTTAAATTGAAAAACTAATTCATATCGGTAGTTGTGCTTGCTTAAAAGTCGTAGAATTATTTTATAGCGTTATATTTATACTATAGCGTTATAATATAAAAGTACAAACACGATTATCAATGTATAGTGATTATTAAAAAAAATAAATCGCCCCCGGGTGGGCTCGAACCACCAACCTTTCGGTTAACAGCCGAACGCGCTAGCCGATTGCGCCACGGAGGCAACTAAGTATAGCCTTCTTATAAGTGCAGTTAGCAGCATCACTTGCTTTTTGTAGGATTATTTTTATTGTCTTGAATATTAATTAAATAGAGAGACAAATTAAATTTTAAAACGAAGGAAAAGTGTAGAAACCGAGTCATGTAACTCGAGTCTGCCTTTAATTTTACACAGTATTTACTTTAATATATTTGTTACTGACAACCATAACAATTTAGTTATGTGTTATGTAGTATAATGTTTAAAAAAGAAAAACTCTTGTGACAGATTTAACGCCAAAGAGACGCGCATATACTCTTAAATTTTAAATAAGCTGAATTGGTCAAATTAAGTTTTATTTCCGTTAATATTTAACTGCAATATACTTCACTTATTCTGATGTTTATTGCAAGACGCGTGAGTCGAATAATCATATTTAATCAGCATTAAACATCTCACGAGAAAATGCGATATACAATGAAAAAACGAAACAATCTTGCTGCTGCGTGTTGCAAAACTCTTTCTCTCATACGCTGGGTCACGCCTTGACATTTCGTTAGATCCATTCACCTTATACATCTTGTTTACACCTACCCGATGCATCGTGGTACGAGAGCTCGCCCTTTGATGAATCGATGCGCGATTGCGGCGTGTCACGAAGAAATGTTGGCGTGCCGCATGCGGATGCGACATTCGCGAGCAATTGCGAGATCGCTAGGAGTCTTGTGCAAGTCTATGCATTTTTCATGAATAGCTGATTCGTTATGAAGTTGCATTCGCGTAAGAATAGAAAGGTATCGGCTGTAATTCCGCAAATGTGCGGATTGACTTGTTCTTTGATAATCCCTTGATAAATTGGCTGAAATCTTGATGAATCTTTTATGCGTCGAGAGATGTCATATAAGAATCCGAATAATTCTTTAAATTAAAGTCAAAAAGAAATAAAGAATTATTCCTGACAGACGGCATAAAATTTTTAAGCATTTATAAAAAAAGAGTGACATATAGCATATATATTTTTTTCTGATTGCGTTTTTTTATTACATTTTTTCCTTTAATCAATAGCTGTTTTCTTTGTTTGTGCGAAAGCAGCGATAAATGTTTCTCTATTTATTCGCCTACACTTAAGTATCGATGAGATATTTTCTTACTTAATAATTCCATACATATTTGCAAGATTATTTTGCAAAGACTTTCTCATTTTACTATTCATAGATTTTGCAAGCGTGTTTAGGCGTCTCATAAAAATCACCAAGTCCGTTATTTTCGCGAAATCACAGGTTCGAAGAAACATCCGCGATTGTGAGATCCTGAAATGTCACGAGACACGTTTCATTGAATCTTATTGCGCGTGTGTAAATAATTTGTGGGCACGGTGAAGTGCTAAGGGTCGTAAGTTAAAGGGGAATTATCATTTACTCAATCCGCTGCCGGTGCGCGCTCGTTGTGCCTTGTTATTTCGTGTTAGAGAAGTGCGAAGATGTTTGCCGGCTGACGGAAGCTCTCGATTATTGTATCTGACATAGTAGGTACATGGCGGCTCCACGCACGTCGAGAACGTAAGTGCTACTTCGTGACTCACTCGTTAACTTGTTACATCGCGCCTGGTCCTCGTTGTTTCTGTCACACTGAAGCGCAACGTTGTGATTGACAAATCACACGAGCACTGATACGCCTTATCGCGGCGACCGATAGTGCAAATTTGCAGAATGTGCAAATCGAGAGATTTATCGGTGGGTCGCCGTGCCTCTGGCGGTCTCGTTTGTCCCTTTAATCGATCTTTTCGTGAATATTTCATTCATCAATCAGCTATATTTTTCATATATTTTAATGCCGTCATCGAAGTCTCGTTCCGTTTTCCGAATAAAATTGTGCGTCGATAGACGCAATTTGAAACTTCGCGATGATTATAATCTAAAATATAGAAAGATAAAGATGGCATTTTACATACGCATTAATAACAGCGAATTTCATTGACAGAAAGTTTTGTGATTACAGTATTGCGTACCACATAGGATTTTCAGAGATTTATTATTCTTGTTTGAACACCTGAGTGTTTAGTGCAATATTTTTAACTTGCAACCCTGTTCCATGTTTTATACATTTTATATCTTATAGATTAGAAGTTATTTTATTTTAATCAAACGCGCGTCTCAATTTAAAGGCACTTGTATGAATTGAAAGACGTCGGTGAGGATTCGCTCATACAAGAGCCGAGCAGAATTTCTAATGGCAATTACTGTCACATATGTAAGATCTTTTCCTCTTCGAAAATCTGTAGTTCTACATGTCAAGTTTAAATACGCCAGTAAATTCCGAGCGACGAAATTCGAGGCCTGATCGAAGTCGAAGCAGTCTGTGGATGGGCGGTTGGTGCGGTGAGACGGAGTAAACGAGGCCGTCAGGATTCACAGTAATAATAATAATTATTATTATAACGATGATGAAGCAATAATACAAATAATAATATTAATAATAATAGTGGTACTGGTACTAAATCGTAATAATAATAATAATGACACATGTATTTCTAAAAAGAAGACAGAGTCGAGCTACTTACTATATAGTTTATCAGGATGGGCTTGTGGGTGCTGTTTGCAGTAGTGCGTCAATTCTCAAATAAGACGTAGGGGGAGTGGGAGGGGGGGGGGGAATGGGGAGTCCATAAGGGGGATGCGAGATTATCGATCGGTAGGGGGAAGAGGGGGGGGACGGAGTTCGTCCCCGCGGACAGATCGGAGCTCGTCTCCGTGTCCACCGGGACGAACGGGAACGCCACTCGGTGCTGGGCATCCCGCGGAACCACCGCGTGTACGCCGTTTCTCATCGCCGGGTCGCGCGGGTGCGCGATCACCGCGTATCGAAGGTACGATCGATACGAGTGTCACGTCGCTCGCAGGTGGACGCCGCCGACGGTATCCGGCGACACGCGGTCGTGCCGTGCTCCCCGTGGGAGATGCGCCACCGAGATCGTAGTGCGCCGTAAAGATCGAACAACCCTACTCTAGAAGATCGATCGGGTCGATGGGGTCGCTCTTTCGTGCTTGTCTCTCTTTCTCTCTCTCTCTCTTTCTTTCTTTCTTTCTCTCGTTCGCTTTCTCTCCTTGCCTCGCATTCTTTCGCGCTTTCGCTCGCTCAAGCACACACACACACACGCTCTCTTTCTCTCGCTCTTTCTTTCGCTCCTTATCGTCCCGCGACGAGCTCGCGTCTCGGCTGCCGGAGGCGCCGACACCCGAGCCCGCCCCGGTCCTTAAGGAGAGAGCAGAAGTCCTCCTCCTCTTCGAGATGGTGCTGCTGCTGCTGCTGTTGCTGCCGCGCTGCTGAGGTTACTCGTCGATCAGCCCTCCTCGCGCCGAGACTTTATTGCTCGGGCTTCGGGAGCAGCTCCGCGCCCGGGAGCAGCTTGTCCTTAGTGTCCTCGGCCGGTTTGGCTTCCTTCTGCTCCTCGGAGGACTTCTCCTCCTCGCTGCTCTTGCCCTCCTTGCTCTCGTCGGCGATCTTCTCCTCGGAGGACTCGCTGGAGCGCTCCTTCACCTCTTTGGCGGGTTCCTGCACCGGCTGCACCGGCTGCACCGGCTGGATCGGCTGCGGCTCCTCGGCGACCGGGAGATCCGATTTTGCCTGAGGCTGCTCGACCACTTCCGCTGTGTCCCGTTTGATCTGGCTGGACTCCTGAACCGCCTGCTGCTCCTGCTGTTGCTGTTCCTGGGCCACTTCCGCTTGCTTCTGCACGGGAGCCTCGGCGCTCTTCGCTTCCTTCTCGGACTCCTTCTCGGCCACCACCTCGGCTAACTTCTCCTTGTTCTGGGACGGCTCCTCTAATTTGATTTTCGACTGCTCGACAGGCGCCGTCTCCAGCTGCTCGCTCTTCTCCACTTGCTCGCTCTTCGGTTTCTCTTCCGCCGGCTTGACTGCTTCCACCGGGGCTTGCGGCAGCTCGGCGGGAAGCACAGATTTCTCCTGCGACTGAGCTGGTTCCTGAGGAGCGACGGGGGTTGGTTCGCGGGCAACAGGCACAGCGGCCTGTTCGGCGTCGCGGGTCACGCGGTCGGGCTTCTCCTCGACCTTGGCGTGTGCGAGCGAGTGAATGTGGCTTTCGGCGGCTTCCTTTGGCTTCTCAATCTCAACCTTCTTCTCCTCGCTGGAGGCAACTGTGGGAATTTCCGGCTCTTCCTTCTTCAGAGCTGGCAGCGGCGCTGGCTCTTCCAGTTTCTTCTCCTCTATCGGTTCCTCCTTCGGTTCCTCCTTCGGTTCCTCCTTGGCAATCTTCTCGGAGGGGATGTCGTCGGCGCGCTTCTCGATCGCCACGGGTTTCTCGGCCGCGGGTTGCACCGGTTCCGCGCTCTTGCCCTCAACGGCTACAGGTTCCTCCTGAAAGACGCATTATACAAGATTAGAAAATAAAGCTCACAAGAAGATGTAAAGAATGTTGGAGAAGACTAGATTATTCTCATCAATTCTTGAATGTATGAAAAATGTAAATGGCAAGAAAAGGATGTTGATAAATTTAAAATAAATATCGTCGAAAGCGCACCGTCAAAATTAATTTTTTTCTAAAGATTTTGCGAAAACATAAATATTGCAATGTTTGGAAAACTTCTTTTGTACGAGCGAGAATTAATTATTGAGGAAACAAGAAACTTACTGCTGTCTTCACAACCGGAAGCTCGACCGGTTGCTCCTGCGGCGCGGGTTGCACCGACTCCTTGGCCTCGGAGGCCGCTCCCTTCAGGGACTCCTGATCCTGCTTCTTTTCGGCTTCGGCGGTGGCCAGCACTTTCGGCTCTTCCTTCTCTTCTTGTTCTTCGGAAGATTTCGGCTGCAGCTGAGCTTCCTCGACTACCGCTTTAGTTTGTTCCGGCTGTAGGGCTTCCTCCTTCTTTGCCTCGACCTCTCGGGTCTCTTCGCTGGCGGACTCGCTGCTCCTCACAGCAGGCGCGTCGACCGCGGCAGGCTGTTCGGCTGCTGGCTGTACTGGCTGGCTAGCCGCAGGTTCCGCCGCGGACGCGATGCTCTGCACAGCGTCCGATGCCGGTTCCGCAGACTTCAAGCCTTGCGACGCGATCGGGGCGGGTAGAACGTGGTCTTTGGAGGGCTGCGTCTCGTGGCCCTCGTGGTGATCGGCCAGCGGCATAGCAGTGATCATTTTCAGCCCCAACAGGCACACCATCATTGCCACAGTGAATTTAATCATCGTGATATCTGCAAGAAAACACTGAATTTTAGACACTCAAACTAAAAAAAATTACTCAATATTTATCGGACGATTTTAATAGCATCTCTATTAATAATATTCGAAGATGTATTGCGCATTTCCCCGCGGTTTTTATCTCATCGAAATTATGAAAATTATTTTCTATCACAATGTTAAGTGATTTATCTTTGTGTGAAAATTAGAATTGAAAATTCTCGCGAATGTAGCGACTGCGAAAATGTTCTACATCTAACGAAACTCGGACTGACACCGTGGAGACATTGAGACGCGCAATCTTCCAGTTAGACGAACGGACGTGAGGACGAGTTGTCGCAGTGACGGTTCAGCATGAATGGGAGGAATGTATGAATGGACCCGATCGTAGATCGCGAGACGAAAGGACGATAACTATGATCGTTAATAGGCAGAAAAGCCATGGAGGGCTGCGGAAGGGGAGGGAGTCATGTTGGACGGTACATCAGGGCTGTCACGGGAGAATCGGCAGGAAGGAGAGGGACGGGTGACATTGAACCGAATGCATCGAATAAGGCGAACGTTATGGAACTAATGACAGGATGCGTGCCCCTCACGCTCGTTACGCGCGCGCGTACGGCTTCTCCGCGCACGTTTGGCTCCTCTTTTTGTACAATATATAAAGAATATGCTTGATAGTCTTGTATAAACTTTTATCGCGTGCAGAGTAAATCGTGACTAGTGTGTAAAACAATAAGAATAGATCTCTTGTTTTTCTCAGATGAAAATTTTTACGGAAGAATGTTGAGGCGTTGATAATTTATTAAGTAAGTAATTGGAAAGGAAAATCTTATTGCTATTGAGCTTTGTTTTTCAAATTTTTTAGTAAACTCCACTTTAATAAATATTGCGAGGAACGTAGATTCATTATCGAATACCGGATTTAAATGCGCAATGTTTGTACTTGGTGCAAAATGTTTAGATAATAAATTTACTTCGCGTGATGCAATCTTCAGCTTGCGATTTCTGCGTCGCAAAATGCGTCGACACTCCGCGCGAACGAAACACGAGACTATTCCGCGTTTGTAAGTAGGCGTACGTGAAATCGGAGACAAACGGCGCGGCATTTACGCGTCATCGGGTTGGCACGGCCGATCGACGGGCATTAACGTTCGAGTTAAGCGTAATCTGCATTGCCGTCCCGCTTATCAATATTTGCATCAATACAAATTTGATAAAAAAAGTATTATTATGAAAGAATTTGTTTTTAGTCTAATTAAAAATTATAACGTCGGCACATAATGTTGAAACAAGTTTTTGATAAAACTGTGAATAAAAAATGGTCGATCGTACAAGAAATATTTTAATTAGCAATAACCGGAAAAATTGTATATGTTAAAAGCACGGAGAGTAAAGAAGATTTTTAATTAGCGTGAATGAATAGTGATTTTACTTTTCGAAAGCGGAGATTTCGCGGCGTCGTGCAATCGAAAATGTTGCGGCAAACAGGAATGCATTACCAGAGGGAATATCGAGAGGGAAAAGATGGCGAGGAGTAACGACAGAGACGGGAACAACGAGGCGTAGTAACGCAGGACAGTGAACGGACGGGAGGGCGGACAGAACGATCCAGTTTTTACGACGAGACCGACGTAAATTCGCGTTTGGCAATGCAATTACAGCCGGCGAACGGCTGCAACTGCCTTGGTTCTTCCGATATCGGCAATATCGCCGAAACCACCTTGCGTTGCGATAGAAAGCGAATCGGGCTCTCGTTGATATCAACAATTACATTCGCGTTCGCATTCGCGACAGAAGCGTCGTGTTGCACGCAGAATTAAAATATGTATATAATTTTTAATTACATATATAATTGCGAAGGCCGACTTTGATTTAATGATAATTGCCGAGAGAGAAATTTTGATAAAGAAATCGCAAGTTCGCGTGAGACTCGGCAGAACTGAAATTTAATTCTCCAAATATTTCTATGGCATTAAGTTTATAGCGTGCATAATTATGCCGGATGCACGGCGCACGTCGCAATAAATTTAATTGCGAGTCCACTCAAGCACCGTCGACTTATCCTTGCGTTACGTACATTTCGTTAATTAGTTCCTATATATTGACGTGATCGAACGACGTACGCGCGCTCGACGCAATCATCCGTTCCGCGCAATTTTCGGTGCAAGAAATTCGCCGAAGGAATCGATGAAAGGAGTCGAAGGCGACGCGCGTTGATCGCGCTGCGAATACAAACAAGCGGTCAGCGGCCAGGTCGATAGACGCAGGAAATGCCTGTGAAAGATGATGGACGCCGATTACCTCATCAAGATCATCAGAGATGTAATAATGGTACCACGCTTACAAAGAAGTCGCGCGCGCCATCAAGCACTCCAACGTCAATGATTATAGCCTTCTGGCTCTCCTCGCTCTCTTTCTTCTCGTTCTTTTAGCCCCGCGGTTCCTGATTGCGGCGCATTGAAAGAGCGACGTTCGCTCGTCTAATCTGAAACCGCGAGTTCAATCTGAATCTGCGAAATCCGCTCTCCTGTTGCGTCGCGAAATGTATTGCGTCTTGTTTTGACTTTCTCGTTTCTTCTTTACGTCTTTACGCAAGGAAGAATTTTACTAAGTGAGATTCTGTTGATTTAAATAGAGATTGTTTGAGACGTAATCGATGCTCACCAATTGCGAAAAGGTAGTCGCCGGTTGGCGACCTCGAGATAATGTCGCGGCGCAGGTAATTCACAGATTGGCAGATTAAGCCGGCTAATTAAGGGTCGGAAAGGAGCGCGCCGCGGGAGGGAAATGCGAAATTACGCAAATGCGCACGGTTGCTCCTTGAGAAATCTACAAATTATGTATATGGCGACGACGAAGCGTAGCTTGCACGCGAGCGACGTACGAGCGTTTCCCTTCCTTTAACCTCTTAACACCGAAATCCTGAGATATGAAACGCTGAATCGCTCATGAATTAATATTTTCTTACTAACCCTTCAGCTACGAACACTCCAATACGACCAGCGAAGATTATTTGTAAAACAGATATAAAACCAATAATTCTTTTTAAAAATGAGGAATTATTTTATTAGAAACGTACGATTGCTTTTGATACAAGATTAAGCTTTTTGCAATTAATTTGTGATATCATTATTGGTTTGTCAGTAATTTCAAAAAGACTTTTGCATATTGTAATCAAAGAATTAACACAAAAGAATAAGAAAAACTCGTATTTAATAAATTTGAATTTATTAGAAATTAATTGTGCTGAATATGATAATATATCTAATGCGATTTTAATGGCAATACTTATCGGTTTCATTAATTTAGACTTTTAAAACTAGCTCTTTATCTTTGAATTAAATATTAAAAAATTTACGGTTACAAATGATGGGTTTTTAATTCGTTTTTAATACAAGATGACATTTTAATAACGAATGGATCGCAATCGTGTTTGATAGCGAAAAATTGAGTTTGTCGAGGCGTTTATTGTCATTTACCATTTCAAAAATCCCAGTTTGCCGCACCTCAGCTAATTGAACGAATGAATAGCAGCGCGAACAGCGAACAATAGCATTATCGCGCTCCACTTTCAGAACTGTCTCTATTGCCGTCGACTTGGTATCGAATCCTACGCGTATTGCGAAAGAAGCGTAACTTGTCACGAGTCTCGAAAAAAATCTTCCGCGCACTAATGCGAGACTAATGATCGTTCCGAGTCAACCAACCGCGTCTATCGGCCGCACATGTCACTCCGACTCGAAATTTCATTTTGAACTCGCCCAGCAAAGTCTATCATGTAACTTGTTTCGGAATTAAGCCGTGGAAAATTTTGTCGACTTCAATTGCGATCGAAGGCGAAATAGCGAGAGGTCAAAAGTGAAAAGATTTTACTCGACAATTGCGCAATCGATTAGAAAATTTATTACAACGAGAATAATTGCGCGACGATAACGTTGCCTTACTCGACGAAGAAACTCGCGTCTCGATCGATCGATCGATCGTCTGAAAGTTGTCGGCAATCAGTCGGTTAATCCACGGGGACCGACCGACTCATCGCGTTCCTGCCGAAAGATCGCGGCGAGACGTGCTTTCTTCGGTCGAGGGTTGCAAGACTCAGCGAAAGGGAGCTTGTGTGTGTGTGTGTGTACTCACGTCTTTTTCTCTCCTCCGTAAACGAGAAACTCTTGCCAGACGAATCGGCGTCGGGCACGGGCGGCGATTTCTCCTCTTCGGCTTCTCTTGCTGTCTTCTCTCTCGGCTCTCACCGGTTCGCGCGAACTGTCGATCGACGCGAACGATCGGAGTCAACGAAAAAACGCGGGGGGCTCTGTCTCTCTATCTATCTATCTTCCCTCTCTTTTTTTTCGCGCGCGTGCGATTACGCTCGTTTGCGAAGGACCGTTGGCGATCGGGATGAAGGTTGGGTCGTGTGTCGAGATGGAATCGCCGGGGCCCCGCTTATATACCCATTTACCCACCCGTGCTCGCGGCCAGGATCGTGCAAGGGGCCCCCGACCCTCCACGCCGATGGAGCTCCACCGAGAGGGGCCCCTCTTTCAGTCGTCTCTTCGCCGCCCTTCTTGGACTCTCTGCCTACCTTATCTCCCTCCTTGTCCTCCGCCTCCTCTCTCTTTCTCTTCCTCCTACACCGTTTCTCGCGTTTCTACCTCCTCCTTCTCACTCTCGCCCGCTTCTGCCTGATCTCGGCCTGTTCGTCGACTCCTTCGCTCTTCTCCGTTCTGGCCCACGTTTACACCCGGTACGTACTTGCGTACCAAGTCCCGAGATCTTCGAGTTCGGGCATGGATTTGCAACGCGTGTTGCTGACCCACTGCGATCACGCCTTGGGCGAACCTTTTAACTGCGAGCGTTGTATACATACATTCAGCGTCGAGTATTAACAATTGTCTTACGATAATTTTTCAACTGTTATATCGTTCCCTTTATATCGAAACCATGAATGTGCAAATTTTCCTTTAACCTCGTTTTTCTTTGCGAAAATTATTTTTGACTACTTGATTTTGTATTTACAAAGCTTCAGAGAAAGAGCTTGGGATACTTTAAATTTAGAGTATCTAAAGGCTTATAGTTTCTCGATTTATTCGTAAAGATAATTTAATTTGCAGTTAAAGACGAGTTCTACTCGGATCGTGAGATTACTTTTAGCGTGAGATAAACATTCGGTGGATTTTTTGGTCAGAGAGTGCCGAGAATAATATAAAAAATTTGAAAGAACAAAAAAATTACTTAAAGAAGAAGCCTGAAAAATTAGAATATTCTTTAAAACTTCTAAATTTATTTTTTTACTTTTATAATTGCGTTTTGGTTGTTAAAATATTTTCATGCGTTCGTAGAAAATGAGGATTCTAAAGCATATTCCATTGTCAGTACATTTCGCTTATCTCTATCATTTATACTTTTATATCTTGCTTCATTATTATACATTACATTATAGCAGTGCGGGATACCAGTGCAAGAATTCATGATATGCGTGGCTTTAACATAAATATAGTTTCTTTTTTATGGAAATGTATATAATGGAAATTCTCTACGGAAAAGTTGGTCTTACAATTTTCTGAGATTACGATTTCCAGTTTCGACCGAAACCAACGATTATACACTTGTTATGGAACTTTTAACAGCAATTCTCTCATATATATTGAATCATCGTCGAATGGAACCAAGAACCTTGAAATACTTATGCGTGACTAGATATAGGATTTCCCTATCAATTCTTATGTGCAACAATTTAATATCTATAGAGCACTTTTGGAAAATTATTCTCTATATATGCATGCGTACCATACTTGCTCGACTAGTTGTTCAGGACGCACCTGTACACGTCGCATGCCGGCATGACGTGTCGCGTTTGTGTTTTAAAAGCATTCATTTGGGACCATTCAGTATATCGAGCGGAAGTGCAGGGCAATACAAGCTTTGATAGAGTGTAAAACGAACTAACCTTGAATATATTTAAACCGGATTAATCGGCATTTGTTTTCTTCAATTCGCAATCGAATTGCTGGTTAAAAAAACCGACAAAAAGATGAGAGTGCAATAACTTTTCAATTACGAAAATAAAATGCAAATAATATTTTGTTTGCATTATGTTTTATCGTGGTCTTAAAAATTTAATCGGCGTTTCTTGGTAAATTTAGAGGAAGTCTTAAGTGATCAAACTGTTGTCTTCCCGACTGTGGAGTTATTATGATATGACCTTCTTGACTCGAAGACGTATCTTCCTCGTACAAATTTTTGTCTTATCCTCATTTGTGGCGAAGATTCTTTCAGTGAGCGTAAACAAATCGTTCCGCACGTGCTCGACATGGCTAAATAATCGAAAATGTGTAAATTTTAGCGTTTTATCTTATTTTGTTTTTAATTTGTAAGCGAAAAGGAATTTGATTAGTTTTGTTGTCGAAAGTATCGCATAAAAATGTCGTACATTTCCCAGTAAAATTATGTAATATATAACTATCAATAAAAGAGGGAGTATATTTTTTGTGCTTAAAAGAAATAAAAATTGAAATTTTCCGTAAAAGCGCTCAGAAGACAATACAAGTGTAAGAAAGCTTGAACTTTTGTTGATAAGTAAATTTTCTCAAATATTTGAGTAAACAGAAAGATAAATGTGATTCCTCAAGGTGTCATGTAGTTATTTACAGTTTTTTTTTATCATTTTTTAATCAGATTTTCCATTACAGAAATGCTGGTGTATCGTTTTACGCGTTGTAAATATGTTGAACTTGATAAACTGTGAGGCACCAGGTAAATTGTTTCATCTTCTTCGTCGCCGTGACTCATCGAGGAACGCTCGATGAGTCGTGCACGCGTGCGATACACGCGCCAGTGCGTATGTACATAAGGACATTATGTAAACCGTCGGTTTTACATATCATTCCGTCACGTACGTATTGTCGCACATTTGCCTATTCAAAATTGTTAATCGCTTTATTAAAATATCAGTTCATAATCGAATAATTATCACAGCTGAAGTACTTAACTCATTTTCTCTCTTCATCAATTGTTATTGTGCTATCAATGATTTGCTTTCCGATCAAAATACGATCGTTTAATCTCTGTTACATAAGATGCTGCTATAAATATTTTACATCTTGCCATCTTGCCAGTAAATCAGTCGTATCACGTTTTAAAATTGATTCATAGTAGTTGATAATTATATATTTTAAGTCGCTGCGACTATAATATTGTATCTGATAAAAAAATAAATTTTATGAATAATATCAAGATAAAAATTCAAGGTACACTTAGCTAATTTAATTAATACGGATTGCTAATATAATTTGGGTCAAAGTCGATTTTATTACTATTTTATTCTTCATTCTTATTTGTTTATTGTTTGTTGAAAATGATTTATTACTAATTATTTATTTAATATTCAATTCTTTCTCATTTTTTATTCAAGCTTTGAAATTTGCGAAGATGACTGATCAAGATCATTATTGCGATTTTTGCGATCTCGACGCAGTAATCTTAAATCATTCTTAAACATATTTGCGCTCAATCTTTACTCAACCTCCTTAAATTTACCGAGCTCACGTAGCTGAAGTACCTCGTACATGATTTATCATCACGGTCGTTTAAATCCGACATGAGAATTCCTTACATTCTTGTCGTCCAAAATCTGTATAATAAACCGGCGCCAATCGATCGGAACCATTTTAATGTTCAAACTTAATTGACATAACACTTGTCGATAATTCTCCTCTGCTCATATTAAAATATTTTAGTGCTATCCAAACTCGAACACCCGTTACTCGCATATTGGTTTAGGCACGCTCGTAAATTAATAGAATCGTGAATAATTCACGATTTAAATCTCCTGAGTATTATGCTTATCCAAGATTGATGACCTCACCTATAAGATTCGCTACCTCGATTTCAAGCGTATCACGAAAGCTTTAAATCATTTCTAATAGGTGTCTTGCAAGCAAAGAAGCTGAAAAATAGATTAAATTTTGCTTTTATAGAAAAAGTTGAATGTGATTTATTTTATTTCTAAATTAAATCGTGTTTTTGCTTTCTGAACGAATTGAAATTCATTATTTATTAAAGTGGGTTTTTTTTTAGCAGTCAATTTATTCCACTCGGGGATTGCAAATGTTGATCTCGCAATTATCAGTTAAGAATAGAACATCACTCGCGGGTGAACACGTAACATTCTCCAATATTATCGCAATTCTCTTTGATACATCGTTTTGCAGCATCGTGCCGTCTTCCTGGATTCTCGCAGTTGTTACTGAGGCAGTGACTACTTTACAACCAGCGATTTTCAACCGTTACATACTTACCGTTAGAATAATGCGCGTTTATTAAGTTGTTGTTTGCTAAAAAATAGATTGGATGACTCTTAATTAACTGCCGGTTAAATTTTCGCTAAGAAAAGCCGTTTCTCAGTTGATAAAAGTAGCACGAGCGGTTATATCACGCTAACGTATGCGCTTTTATTTGTCTGTCTTCTTGAAATAATAAGGAAAGAACAAGGCGCTTCTTCTTCGAAACTCATCTTATTCGGTTACGAGATTGCGTAAAAGAAGATCGCAATAATAGATATGATGTGCCGCTGGGAGTTTTAGTATGATTCGTTTCTGTGGTATAATTACTGCAATACCGATTATTGCAGCGTAATCGCGGTTCTCCGGGGAAAAATACGATGTTTTTATATCACTTTTTATGGCGTTCTAGGCGCCGTTCCTTTGCGATGTCTCTTTAACGGCACTAATTACGTCCGGCACCTCCGCATGTCACGCTCGCGAATTTTGCATATTAACTCTGGAAAGTTTTTACGCGAGCGCGCGCATCCGAAGGACAACGATTCCTTCAAGACGCGAGGTTGAAAATGAATATTCTACTTAAATTATCGAATTGGAACAAGGATATCTGATGCGCGAGGATGAACGTCAAAATTATACGAAATTATCTAAGTTTGTCAAAGATTTTAAATATCATGGCATATTTTTATCTAAATTCTGCATAATTAATTTTGAATTTGTAAACAAATCTATAATTTAAAGGTAATTATCCAATACGTGTAATGGGAGGCCATTGCTATCTTAAATATATTGATAGTACACAACATATTTAATTTTTTATTTTATAGTTTAAAAGAATTCATGTTGAAACACGTAAAAAATAACACGTGATAATACATATAATATACTAATTTAAATTTAGAATGGAAGCTGCGTAAATATATGGAATATTATTATTCGAATTAATTAGGAAGAATTTCTTTCTACGAGACGGTGGAAAATTCTTTCCTTCGCGCAAGAATTCGTCATATTGCACGAAAGCCTGAAACTCTCCGAGTAATTCCCGTTAAATTGATTCGCCACGCCACTTTACCCTTCCATTCTCTTGCCCGTTCATCCCCGGTACAATACTGATTGGCACAGACGCGATTTTTCACAGTTGAGCACGCGCATC